AAAATTTTTAATATTTTATATTAATGCGCAAAATAAAATGACCTCCATGATGCAATTTTTAAAATTGAGTCACAAAATATGGATGTCTGTGCTTATTCAAAACAAATTAAAACTTGTACCATATCAATTTTTGTTTTTTAACTACTGAAAAAATACTAACTTTTATAGTAGTCAAATTTAATTATTTTTTTATTTTTAAATTTATTTTTCAGATCAGTGAAGTGCAACAAAAGAAAAGTAATATGGTGAATTTGCTCATATGCAAATGGGAAGCCTGCGTGTAAAATTTTACACAGATTGGTAAAAAAACTGCATCATGTGGAACCTCCTGAAGTTGTGAAAATGTTGAAAAAACTTAAAGCGAGAAAATCAATTTTAAGATTTTGTTAAAGATTATCTTTGTTTTCTGACCTGAGATCCAACTAAAATTGACCAGATCCATATGTGGGACCCTCTCCAATGTTCTTCTTGGCCTCTGCAGCTACTTTGGGCAACCTCAGCTTCTTTCTGGCAGATTTTGAACCCGGATGACTGCAATGTGTGCTCCAGCTGAGGCGAGGATCATCCCTTGCTCTGCTTATTTTCTCAGCTGCTGGGCTGAAATTCAATTTTGTTGCTTCCTCTTTCAGTTTCTGGCTTGCTATGCAGCCCATATTGAACTCACTCACTGCATTAGTGACCCCAATGTCCAAATAAAACTATGTAATGCCTCATTGGCATTTTGAGTCTTCCCATGTATGCACTTTTTCAGGAATTCCTAATTAGCCAATCTGGTGTATAATGAAATTAGTTTCTTTACCACTTCAACATTCAACGTCATCCTCACTCAGGCTTGGATCGGTGGCAATAAGGCTGGCGAACAGTAGTCCGAGCCTCCTGAAACACAATGTGATGTATTCCTGTGTTTTCTTTTGCTGTTTGCAGCAAATGGGCATTGTACGAGGAAGCACTGATTAGTGGCATACTCATGCTGATGCAGAATTCTTCCATTCCAGCATGACTCTTACATAATGATAAGAAAGTGTTTACCATTTTGCAGTTCACTTCAAATGGAGGTCGACTGGGTTCGGTGCATTCAACCCTGGGACTGGTAAAATTTTCACTGCAGGTAATGCAGCAAGCTGTATATTTTACAACTACTTTAGCTGCAAAGCCCATGAATTGAGAAAATTCTATTTTCAAATCACTTCCCCCACAAGTGCCACATTTTACATCTTTATATATTTGCTGCCAAAAGCTGGAATAGACTAATACATAATCAGAATTAGGCATATCATTCAGATACTCACTGTCTTGGGCAGCATCAATTCTTTTGTCAGTGAAAAAAGATAGCATGTCTGGGATACAAATGCCTAGGAAGATGATGCTGAAGAGAAATTCTCTATTGAAGCATTTTCGTTTCTTTCACATACTTCAGAAGACATTTCCGTTTGTTGTTGTTGTTTCTTTCATCTCTTGGCTACTTAATTTTTAACAAACAAACTTCTTTTGGTTGGTCTCTTTCCTTTTACCCTTTTATCTGGTGACCTATTCATGTTGTAATGTACTATGTACACTTGAAAATAAAGTAAACACTGACCTAACCTACACTAAATTATAGAAAAACTCTGCCTAACTTATTTTAAATAATATTATTAACCTCAGTAACAAAATAAAACTGAATGCACTATGAAAAAGAATATAACAAACAAAAATACACAGCACGCTCATCCACAACAACAAAACAACGATTCTGAGCAATTACAACACAACAGAACGAAATTGGCGGCATAAATGCGCAATTGATGCTCAAATGTTTCCCTCTAACATTTACAAGTCGGCCACAACACTAAACTTCCCTATGGTACAAGAAAAGGCGCAAAATTCAAATTGATAAAAGTGTGGTGTACTGCTGAAACATCCACAGGAAAACCAAGGGGCCTGGCAGCTGAAACACGTACGCAGGGACATTTAAATGGCGCGAGGCCAAAATAACTTTAATTTTACTAAATAGCAAGATATGAACTATTTTATTACACAAACATCAAAATTCCTGATTCTTCATTACTTTTCACCAAATTTCACAGATGCATTACCTTAAGCTAGTGGTTAACAAACTGTGGGGCGCGACCCCGGGGGGGGCAATGGCTTGAAAAGGGGGCGCAGCATACTTTCCTACAGATAAAAATTAAAACTGCCCTAAATCGATTAGAAAAGTAACAAAAAATAAAAATACATATAGAAAAACTTTTGATGAGTACAGGCTTTAATTATTATGAATTTCAAAATAACTAACAATTATTCTCTTTACCAGCAATTATAAAACGCGTATGCCAGAGACAGCGTTGATAGTTCGGCAGCAGCTGCATTCTCTGAAATCCTCTGAAGTCTATACTTTTTAAAATGCTGTGTGAGGAAGTGGGTGCCGAACACACGGCTGTTGTTTTTTAGTGATGCTCGATGACTTTCAAGAGGCAAGGTATTAAACAGAGTGTTTAAGCTGAGGCATGAGGTGTTCTGTTTTTTAAATGGGGAAAATCACTCACTGGCAGACAGTTTCAGCAACAAGGAGTTTTTATTGAAAATAGCTTACCTCACAGATATATTTGAGAAACTAAATATCAACACTTCACTTCAAGGGAATGAGGCAACTGCACTTTCTTGGAATGACAAAGTGAAGGCATTCATGAGAAAATGAGAGCTCTGGAGAAACAGTATGGAAAGTGACATGCTAGACACGTTCCCTACTCTAGTGTCAATGGTACAAGACACTGATAATCCAGTGCTTCCAATGAAGTTCATTTCAAAAAATTCTTTTGCAATAATTTTGATAAATTTAATTGCATTAAAAATCAATTCAAAAATGCTCCTGGGCCATCATCTCTGAAGGTAAATGAGCAAGAACAACCCATTGAACTCACTAGTGATACTTCATTAAAAAGTAAATTTAAGAAATTGTCTTTGTTGGAGTTCTGGATACATATGGGCAAGGAATTCCCAACTTTGAGCCAAAAGGCATTGAAGATACTGATTCCTTTCGCAACAACTTACCTATGCAAGACAGGCTTTTCTGCTTTGGCAGCTATAAAGTCAAAGTATCGTTCAAGGCTAAATATTGCTAAAGAAGTTAGAGTGGCCATTTCTGATATTACACCACGTTTTGATAAATTTTGTTCTCAAAAGCAGGCCCATCCATCACACTGAACTTTGATATTTAAACGTTTGATTTTCTTTGCAGAAAAAATTAAACACTTGTTAGTTAAATATTGTTTAATTTCAATACATATTTTGGTTAATTGCTAGTGTTAAAACTAATTTATATTGTAGGCCTAATATTGTGATACTTTAATTTCAAGTAAAGATGATAAATAGTATGTAAAAACACAAAATAAAATGAATAAAACATCAAACATACAATGACTTCTATTTTGATAAAAAAAAACAGGCTGGGGGCCTGAGTATTTTCTCTTGTCAGGGGGGCTCAGAGGTAAAAAGTTTGAGAACCACTGCCTTAAGCCAAGTTTCCTTGTCAGACACCAGCCATTATCCACCATTCCATATTTCTGAAGATGCTATTTTCTGTGTTCTTCGCATATTTGAACAGAATACCTGAGAACGTGGTTTCCTGGAGCCCAAAACCAATTTTCTACAAACTGACGATTTTTGGTTAATTTTCAGTAGCCACAGGCCAAACTTCATTTAGTGATCTGTGGTCCTTCTATCCTGAGAATAACTGCAAAGGTGAGCCCCAGACTTTACAGCAATCATGGTGATCCTTTCAGAAACTGCTGACCATTTTTCTATGACATCCTTTCATGATGTTTGATGGCACTAATTAGAACAGAAATGACTTATGCCTTACTCGCCAGAAAATTTTTGACATATATGCATCTTTTGAAACTGTAGCGCCTGTAAAACAAGGTTCTCCACATTGCTGGTAAATTTTCAAGATGCACACTGGTCCGCGAATTTCCATGTACCATATATTTATGATTACATAACAAAATTGTGCAGGAAACAAGCAGAGATCATACAAAATCATTAAACTGCAAATGTTTGCAACATCAGAAAAGGTAAAGCCCGACACAGAAAATTTAAGGGGCTCAAACTTGGCAGCAGTCAAGTGTACGACCATTCAAGTGATAAGGCTTCCATTGTAACATGAGTTACATGAGTTAGGGCATGATTTCCTATGACAAGCCCAGATTGACAGAGGCCTTGTATATATTGCACAGATATATGCATTAGAGTTAAATGTAAGAACATAAATATTTGGTAGCCACTAGAACCGGATTCCTGAAAACTATTCAGTATGCTAAAATGTAAAATTGTAAATACAGATGACATACTGCTGCTTTTGACCGCAATAAATGAAAGACCCATCAGAAAGGTCACCCTACATTGACAAGACCCCAACTACATAACAGTAACAAAAATCTGGTCTTGGGCCCCAGATGGGGTTTGACACCAAGACTATTTGGTAGACTGGCATTCAGTTGTAACACCAGTTTGACTTGCTTCCCAACTGCATTTCATCAATACTGATGAGGTTATACAGTGCAAAATGAGACATGGGGACAGTGAGGGATAGCTGGTCTCATCCTGGATTTGTATGAGATACCTTCTGAACTGAAATGACATAACAAATAAAGCATGGGGATGAGAACTGCTAAATAATTCCTTCTATATGACAGACACATGGACTATTTTTTTTCTTCTTTTTTTTTGTTTTTTATTGCTAGTGGGGTGGGACTAAGTCCCTTGCACTGCGGCCACTTCTGCACTACTGTACCAGCCCCAGATGATACGTGAGGGTGATCGTGGAGCAATTGGTGGAATGAATCTTGGCAGGGTAAACCGAAGTACTCAGAGAAAACCTGCCTCAGTGCCATTTTGTCCACCACAAATCCAACTTACTCAGACCTGGGATCGAACCTGGGCCACTGTGGTGGGAAGCCAGCGACTAACCACTTGAGCTATGGCACAGCCCTTGACACATGTATTAACCAATAACGCAATGCTACTGTGTATATAAAATTCCACATTTAATATTTCTTGATTATTAACAAATACACTGTATGCTTAAAAAAATAACAACTCTTGCCCTTCACTTCAGTATTCACTTATGGCTGCATGCGTATGGCACCATCCAATCTTATTACTTCTCCATTTAACATTGGATTCTGAATTATGCTCTGAACCAAGAGGGCAAACTCTTCAGGATTTCCCAACCTTTTTGGAAAAGGAACAGATTTTGCCAAAAAATGGAGAACTTTATCTGGCAATGAAGCAAGTAGCGGTGTATGAAACAGACCTGAAAACATAAGAAATTCAACAACAGAAGTTAAACTGCATAAGGCCTAAGGAGGAAGTTCAGTACATGGAGCATTTCAGTGTGCTGAGGCTTGACAGTAAGTACCATCACTGAAAGTATGTACCATCAAGCATATTCAACATTTTCAAGTGATGCCACAGAAGTCTGGCAACAACATATAAATAACATTTTCTGAAAAATAAAATAAATAAATAAATAACAGCTACAGAAAGTTATTAAACGAAAAATGGAAAATGTATTTAATAATGTGGCTGAATATGTTACGTTAATTCAAGTTCTGATAATTTGCATCAGTGAAACTGGTAGTAACGAAAGTGTCACGTATAATGATTGTGACCAGCCCTTGCAGTGCACTAATGTGAATGACATCTTGTTTCCTTCTATTCATGAACATGCCCCTTAGCAAAGGCTGGCTCTGAGAAGGTCAGTCAGTGATTACATACTACGTGATTAAGAGGGGTCTTTTACAAAGTACTGTTCAGTTCTTATTTAAAAAATAATTCCGGCTTAACCCCTTCCTCCTGCCAATGGATGGTTGACCTGCACTGCATCTCCTACCTGTGAGATGAGGTTTTAAAGAGGCTGCAAGCCTTTGGGTTTGGTGTCAGTGATGCAGCGCAGCTCTCCTTGTTTGTTTTGTTAACATTATTCTCTTTTTTTGGTTGGGACAAATTGATAGGTTGGAGAAAACTGCACAATAAGGAGCTTCAAACTTGTACTCTCCACCAAGCACGAGGCCTATTCGGAAAGTAACTTTTGGTGAGTTGCTAACAAAACAAGAAAAACATACTATATTGTGGTGTGCCACCTAGAAGTCAGAATATCTGAGCGAGGGTCCATTGTTACACAACGGCTCTTAAAACGCGTTTCCGAGACAACGCATACAGAGATGTCCATTGAAAGATGACGACTCAGTAACTATGTTTCCCATACAACAAGGAACATCGAATACATCGTTGCCTAGGTGTCAACTGTAGTCGCGACGTGTACGAGTACACTGGCAGATGTTACCATGGGAATGAAAGCCAGAGCTAGTGCAGTTCCCAGTGCAACAAATACCATTCAAGAAAGTGTCTTCTAATCCGTTCAACGATAGAACATAAGAGACCAAATGGAATACTGGACAGAACAGACAAAACTAAACTGAAATAAATATAATACCACGTGAGTTTGAATGGAACCACATAAACTAAATATTACACTTCACAGGCAGTTCACCATTTAAATGCACCTCTGTCCTGTGCCAGAGGGAATTTAGGAACAAAGAAACAAATCATATCTCCTTCACTTCTGATGAATAAACTGCTAAATATTCGCACAAGCAAGGAAAATGCACCAAATTAAAGATACTCACATTGAAGAACAGAGTGGCACTGATGATATAAATCTTACAAAATAAACAATGAGACCATGTATCATTCAAATGCATGGCCAACAATTTTTAGAACAGTACATGACATTTCCTTGATTCTCAACTAGCGTTTCAACATGAGAAGGGCATTCATTGGCAGAGAGAGAAATGAACTGAAGCACAGTAAATGCAGCACCTAACTGTAAGTGGCACCACTTCAAATTGCTATTATGCACAGAACTCTACTGATGAACCATAAATCTAAAATCTTCAGACTGTTGAACAGTGAAAATTCTTTGTTGATATTGCAGGAAGTTCTTTTTACTATGCATCTATAAAGTTTCCAGTCATACTTGTACTAAGTCTGGCTTCCTGGTGAGGCAATCTGTGTGGTACATGTACAATGGCTGGATTTAAAGTGTTAAGCAAACGAAATTATGACAGGAAAGACACTGAAAATCAATTTTCTGTTTTACTAACCAGGTGCTATTGTGCAGACTCGAATTCCTTGGTCCGCTAAGTCACGGGCAATGGGAAGAGTCATACCAACAATAGCTCCCTTGCTAGCAGAGTATGCCGCTTGGCCCATCTGACCATCAAAGGCTGCCACACTTGCAGTGTTAATGATAATTCCTCGTTCACCATCTTCATTTGGTTCATTTTCGCCAATCAAGCCAGCAGCCAAACGTATCACGTTGAATGTTCCAACAGTATTCACCTGAAAGAAAAAAAAATCACAGCAAAAAGAAGTGGTTGATATTGTGACATGTAGATCCACTGCTCGGCAACAACAGTCAAGTAAGTAGCCATACAACAGCCATTGCTAAGTATTGGCTCTGTAAACAATAACCACTGCCAGGTAATTGCCACAACAGACACCCGCAACACTGGAAGTGCTGTTGGGGGCAGTGTTCTCTGTGTGGTTCATACTGAGGCTATAGAATGAGAGCCATCTGCCATTAGAAGTTAGTTCTGAGATGGCAGTGTGAAGAGTATAAGGTTGGTGTGAGATGGCCACCAGCCTGGAATGCAGGTAGTTGGTTGATGAGTGAGTGAGTTAGTTAATGGAATGCTGCGGTTTAGTCCTTGTGAGCTGCTGCTGTTAGAAGCTGGTAGCTGAGGCATAAGGATGGTCCGGGAACCCAGAGCAATGGGAACGTCTACTGTTACTACTAGCAATTACTATAAAACTGCCAAATATACAGCAGGCTGAAAAAGTTGAAGCATGTGCTGTAGTGAATGGCAGAGTGTGAATTAGCAATAGCGCTACAGTTACTTGTTAAAGGTTGTGTGTATAAGTATGAAATAAATCCGATCACCAATCCAAACCGTCTACAGTGACACTCCATACACATGACATTTGTAATTACACATAACCTGAACATTAGTCCATTTACTAACTGTAGTTTATTTAACAACTCACTGTATAGCACTGAATGACGAATCAGTTAGAAAGGATGTGGACAGAAGCAGTTGAGGCCAAATTTTAAAGCACAATCATCTTGTCATTAGACTGAATACAGAAAACTTTAGTCTGAATAGTTACTGTGCTAGCAGAAATTCAAAGCAGGCACCTCCTGAATACAATGGTGAATTAAATTTGGAAAGTGGCAGACACAGCATTCTGAAAGTGATGGGCATGTTCTATATTAAAGGCTTATGCTTGACAGTTCTACGTCACCTTGTACTAACCTTAATAACAGAAATTGTGACTTGCTCTGCACTGAATACTATCACAACTGTTGGAATGTACCATCATTTTCCACCAGCACAATGTAGCACTTCATTCCCATTCGATTTGCAAAGCTTAGATGGAGGTTTGATCCTAATTCACACAATCACTCTCTGCCTTTATCAAAGGGCCACTTTTGGGAAGTTTAAAATTTATTTCAAGTTTGTTAACGAACTGTCGGTATCTATATTATATGGTGCTCATGAAAAAAAGAGGATTAATGTGTGTAGCAGTTGGTGGAAGGAGAATTAGCAGGGTAAACCAAAGTACTTGAAGAAAACCCACCCCAATGCTAGTTTGCCCACCACAAATATTTGAACTGTGCACACATTTTCAAAACATGTTACCTATGAAGAAAGTCGTCTTCTGGAATCTGGCGCTGTGTATTCTTGGTTTTCACCGTTGTTTCGGGGGAACTCCCCTGCCCTGAAGATGGAGGCGATATGTTCCTCCAAAATGTCAGTGAAAACCAAGAATACACAGCGGCAGATCCCAGAAGACGACTTTCTTCATAGTCATCGCCTTGAAAACCTCAAACCTTACATCTGTTACCTATATTTGTCATGATTTTGCTGGGCTTGGAAGAATAGAAAGAATATCAACATTTTACCCAAAGAGAGTCTAGGTCAGCCCTGTCCAACACGGCGCTCATGGTATATTTTTCTGGCGCCCTCCGTAACCACATATAATTGAGCCGATTTTTAATATTAATTCAAATTGTAAGACAAGAGACATTTTTGAACGTCTGAGTACTGCTAAATATTTTCAAAAGAAGAAGAAGAAGAAGGAGCAGCAGCAGCAGCAGTAGTAGTAGTAGTAGTAGTAGTAGTAGTAGTAGTAGCAGCAGCAGTAGTGTGAGGTGGCGCCCACACCTCCATAGGCATCAGTGAATTGTGCCAGAGAGTACATAAGAGCGTTGGACAGCACTGGTCTAGGTTATTACTAACTGAAACAGCACAAGCCATGGTTTGATGATGGATGTTCTAAACTATCAGATGAAATGAGACAGGCCAGACTGCATTGGTTGTATGATATGAATCAAATAAATGGAAATAATCTGAACAATGTAAGACATGAAGCTAGTAGACATTTCATAGACTAAAAGCAGGAATATCCTGAAAGAAAACATTAATGAACTTGCAACATAGAGCAAGAACAAAAACATTAGAGGTTTATACAGGAGAATAAATGAATTTAAGAAGGGTTACCAACCTAGAACAAACAAAAACATTTGAGACTTGTACAGAGGAATAAATGAATTTATGAAGGGTTACCAGCCAGAACTTGATAAAGGATAAGAATGGTGATCTGCTTGCAAATTCCCACAATATTTAATTACGTGGAAGAATTACTTCTCTCAGCAATTGACTGTAAATAAGGTTAGTTATGTTAGGCAGATGGGTATATGTACATCCAATCCATTACTTCCTGAGCCTAGTTCTTCTGAGGCTGAAATTTCTGTTCCAAAGTTAAAAAGGGTAGAAATCATCAGGTACTGATCAAATTCCGACAGAACTGATTCAAGCAGGAGGCAAATCATTATGTTCTCATATCCATAAACTCGTTAATTCTCTCTGCAATAAGGAAGAACTGCCTGAGCAGGGGAAGGAGTCTATTATTGTACCAATTTACAAGAAGGGTGGTGATAGTGAGGCATATCATTCTTGGCAACATCATACAAGATTTCATCCAATATCCTGCTCCAAAGGTCAAGTCCATATGTAGACAAAATTACTGGTGATAATCAGTGAAGGTTTTGATGTAAACGATCAACCACCAATTAGATTTTTTGCATTCATCAGATACTGGAGAGAAAACAGAAGTACAAGGAAAGATCATATTAGCTATTCATAGACTTCAAGAAATCATGTGATTCAGTTAGGAGGGAAGTACTGTACAATATTATTACAGTTGGGGTACCCATGAGACTAGTTCGGCTTACTACATAGGTCATTTCAGAAATAATGCACACAATTTTTTGTTTACTTCCATGTTTATTTTTTTTAATATCTCTTTACAGTCCTTCAATATAGTCCTCTTGCTTCTCAATGACCGAGTCCCAACGTGTGAGAAGCTTTACTATTCCATCCAGGACACCATCTTTGTTTATCTGTCGAATGGCTCAGGTAGCTGCAGCAGAAATCTCTTCCAGAGAGGGAAAACGACGGCCTCGCATAGGTTGTTTCAACTTTGGGAATAAATCGAAGTCTGGTGGACTCATGTCTGGGCTGTAGGGAGCATGAGGCAACACCTCCCAACCGTATTGGTGCAGCTTTTCTGTTATGACATTCCCAATGTGTGTGCGAGCGTTGCCATGGAGAATGATCGGCCCAGCCTAGAGCAACTGAGATAGGTTTTTGTGCATTTTTCTGCGCAGATTTTGCATAAAGTCATGATAATAAACTGCTGTGACAATTTTCCCGCACAGAACTCTGTCATGATGATTCCTTGGTGATCATAAACAAAGATCATCATTTGTTTGACCTTTGATTGAGATAGTCGAAATTTTTTTGGTCATGGGGAAGATGGAACTCTCCACTCGTTGGACTGTGATTTCAGCTCCGGTTCAAAGTCTCTAACCTACGTTTCATCAATAGCGACAAGTCAATACAAGAATGCTTGACTTTCAACGCTGAATCTTTGTTTCAGCAAGGTTGCAATGTCGAGGTGTTCCTGCTTCTGCTCAGCATTCATGCAGTGAGGGACCCATCGCGCAGAAATCTTTCTCTTCTTCAAATCATTTGTCAGAATTTGGAATACTGATGTTGGTGGAATCCCTGTGGTTTCAGAAAGTTCCTCACATGTCGCACGACGATCTTCTTCAAGAGCATCTGACACAAGTTTCACACTTCGTTCATCTGTTGATGTTCTCAGCCTTCCTGGCCTTGGATCATCGTTTATGCTCACACAACCGCCATGAAAACAACTAGCCCAGGGAGAAACTGTACTACGGTTGACTATTAACTCGCCACAAACTTCACTTAAAGCACTGTGGATTTCTGTTGGGTTTTTTCCACGTAAAGTTTCGATCTTAATGTATGACCTTTGATCTTCAACAGTCACAATACCCGAGACCCATGCAGGCTCCATTTCTAACTCAGGTGATTTAAGAACAGAGTACATTATATGTGAAACAAAATAACGCACCTCTTTCTCAAGCCCTGAACTGTAACTGACGTGAGGCTCACTGTTGTTGTGTCATCTAAGCCGCAGTGTTGCCAACCTGTGCATTATTTACGAAATGACCCTCGTAAAATGTGTCTAAATGAAATGTATAGTAAAGGCCATATAAGTATATATCTGTCTGATATGTCTGCTGTTCAAAATGGTCTAAAACAAGGAGATGCTTTATTCCGATTGCTTTTCAACTTCATTTTAGGATATGCCATTAGGAAAGTCCCAGAAAACCAGGTGGGACTGAAACTGAACAGGACACATCAGATTTGATCTGTGCTAATGATGTAATCTACTGCAAGATGACATAAATACCATAAAGAAAAACAGAGAAGCTCTAACTGAAGCTAGTAAGGAGGCTGGTCTAGAAGAAATCACAGAGAAAACTGAGTACATGTTGAGGATTACTGGACTTTTGGACTCATCAATCATCCAGTATTCAACAGAACACAAGATTCCAGAAACTAGTTGTGTTTCTGTCCTCGGGTAAGGGGTTGGTAGACTCCTCCTCTGTTGGGTCTGTTAGAAACAGATTAACACTTTGCGCACCGGACGCATAATATCATGCTTTTCGCTTTTAAACATGACAGACCAGTTGCATGATATCATGCTTTTAGGACACGTTAGGTTGTAACACACTATACCTTGCCCTGGCGCTACGCAACTGCAATGAATACTGCGTAATAAATCTTCAGAATGTAGGCTACGTATTCAGTAACCTGACCTGGCTGGCTAGGGTCCCTACTCCAAAAGAAAATAAACTTTGCCCCTTCCACCTGTTTATGTACCAGGCAGGAAGTTAGTAGAAGGGAATATGTTTCAAGGACAGAAGCGGTTGAAGGCAAAGCGATCTCTCTAACTTGCTGCATTGCTGCAATGCAGCAAGCCACGAACAAACCCTGGACAACATCAAGAACCTCCTCATCAAGATAGACAGGCGGCACAAAATCTGCCCCATACGAGAAGGACGATGGGAGTATGGACACGAACCTACGTGGTTTAAAAAAAAATTTTAACTACTGACAATAAAGGTTTTTTAAATAACATCTAGAAACTTTTTAAAAACTTTACAATACCAGGAAGCTGCTGTGATTGTGGAACGTTCGACTTTATGCGTACTGTGCATTATAGGATATAAGTGTACTTTAAATCAAAACACCTATAGTGATGGTAGTTTCCAGTTTGTAATGATGTTCCCTCTGAAGATGGCCCGTAAGGACCGAAACATATAAGGGAGATAAGTTTTAATGTAGTAAAAACTTATATGTCACATTGGACGGAGTGGTTTGTATTTATAAACATCACCATTTCATCAAACATATGACCTCCATAAAGTTTTGCCCAGCTAAAACTTGTTATACTTAAACTCCATTCTCACAAGTTCACAGCACTGTTTACACTGTGCTACTGCCTTAACTTACCATGAGAACTTTGGTGAAATCTTGTAATACATGCGGAACTTTCTTATTGAAGTTATATGTCTTGAAAGCAACCCCGATTCCAGCACAGTTGACAGCCACAGTGAGTCGCCCAAACTTTTCCTTGGCAACTTGGACAGCATTCGTAACATCACTTTCAGATACCACCTATAATTAAAATAAAACATGCCAGTATAATTTTTAATTTTCATGACCTTGTTTGACTCTCTTACAGCACAATTTTAGAGTATAATTGGTACTTCCACCTTTTATTTTGAAACCTACAGTCTTCCCTGGAGAACTTAATTGTCTGACTTTCTTATCACCAGGGCTGCACCACAGCTCAAGTGGTTAGTAGCTGGCTTCCCACCACGGCAGCCCGGGATCAAACCTGGGTCTGGTCAATTGGGATTTGTGGTGTACAAAGTGGCGCTGGGGTAGTTTTCTCCGAGTACTTCGGTTTCCCCTGCCAATCTTCATTCAACCAAAAAAATTCTCCATCATCATAATCACCCAGGGCAGGTACAATAGGCCAATCAGTGGCCGCAGTGCCGAGTGGACCCAACTGGACTCCACCCCCCACTATGTGAAAAAAAAAATTCTTAACATCAGCCTGTTCGCTGGAATCTTAGCTCTCACCTGCCAAGAAAGAGTAGTTTACCTTCATGCTTAATATGCTGCACACTATAAACACTGACAGGCATTTCTTAAAGTAACTAAATTGTTTAAAAGAACTTACCATAACAGCAGATGATCAAACTGTCTCCATTCTGATCTTAAACAAACTCAAAGTCTCTTGCAAAAATTGACATTAGTTTGGGTTCAACATCAACAGATTTAAACATTTCAGAATGTTCTGCTATTTATAAAATGTATGGGGATTATTTGAGTACACTTTGCAGACCACACAATCTGTGACCTATCAGTCTGCCTTCAAGCATCTCACTTAAAACATTAATGAAATAATTAACAGTAGCACCACCATCTTACATATGTCTTTCCTTCTTCCATAATAGCTCCAAGAAAAGTGTGGAAGAAAGTCAGTGACATACCTCTCTGAGTTAATAGCCTGCTAAAAAAATATGGGTCTTACTATTCATGTCTTAGTAATGCATACCATACTCTAATCTTCTGATCATGAAAGGATACACTTCGAAAGTCTGTCTTAAGATTAACACTGCTGAAGTACCTATTGGTCTGAGTATTTATACACCCACTTTACACAAATCCCTTTACATGAATTACATAAATTTTTTCAAATGTCATACAGAAAATTCTACTGTTCTAGTATATATTTCATCAGTTTGGCACTGTAAATGAGAATATGAAACAGACTTCTGAATGATCTAATAACAACCAATGATTTCTACCTAACTCTATATTAAATGACACAGGCATTATAGAACATCTGTCATACAAACTTCTGAATTTCTATTTAATGTATCTGAAGTTAATACAAATAACTCACATCAGTTGGTACAAAGACTACTTTCTCTCCAAGCTCTTTTTCAACTTCATGACCAGAGGATGACTGAAGATCACATAACACAGCCCGTCCTCCTTCCTTTACCAGACGTTCAACCGTTGCTCTGCCAAGTCCTGACGCACCTCCAGTTACTAGTCCCACAATATTCTGCAATTACAGTTTCAGTTATAATATTTTGGACATAATTTTGCTGGAAATATATCTATGATAGACGTTATAAACTGGTCATAACTGTAGCTTACTTTAGGTGTGGCACAGCATGTTCCTGGAGGAAATAAAAATACCATCAAGGATTTTGCAAACTGAGTCTCAATGCTTCAAGTACAATGAAGATTTTGTTTCAAACCATTAAGGGCATTATGACAATGGAGCCAGAATAGCATAGTCTGTATAGCAACAGGCTACGGGCAGGATGACCGAGGGTTTGAAGTTTGAGTCCCAGTAAGGTCAAGAATTTTCTCTCTTCCATGTCGCCCAGACTGGCTCTGAGGTCCACCCAGCCTCCTAACCAATGGGTACCTGGGGGGGGGGGGGGNAACTAGTGCCAAGGTCAAGAAAATGTGGATGTAACATCCACTTCCCCAAACGCCTTCATGTTGCAGTGCCTAATTAGTTACACACGGAGACAACTTCACCTTTTATCTATTAAAGGCATTATGAAAAGATTGAGAATATGAGGTTCGAGGCTTTTATAATAATGACTATGAAGATTACCGTCTTCAGAGTGTGATACTATGCGATCTGGTAAAAAGTTGCCAGTGTTTTGACGGAACCTATTGCCCGTATCGTCTGTCCTGAAGACGAAGACAGTAGGTTGTCAAAATAATTATATCCACCAGACTACACCATGTTACATCTCACAATATCGTAGGTACTCTTCATACACCATGGTATATGCACTTTCTAACGATCTAAAGCATATGCAAACTTCTATGATTTGGTTGAACTCAATGTTCTTCAAATATATGATCTGGTCAAACTCGATGCTGTTTAAACAATCTCGTGTGCATCCATGTGTTTCTGTAACAGTAAATCACTTTACGATGGCTACGCAATATGCCCCAGGTTATGTAATGTCACGTCCATAAATGAGATAACGTAATGCTAGTCATGGCAATGGTAAAGGCGAATAACGACCAATTATCTGCACACAATGTTGTACCTAAATATGACACCTAGAAATATACCTTCAACATCGTACATTAAAGAAGTGAATCACACTTGTATCCACCTATGATCTCTACTCTATACTATATTTCAACCTTTAACCTCAATTAACATAAACCACAACTTTTTGTCTTTTGAGTCTACCACAAGGTACCACATCCCGAAGATCCCGAACGGCCCCGTGAACCGTGAAACTCCCATGTTATTGGATGGCAACATGGCCGCCACGACCACTCGGTGCAATGCTCCTGCCATCTATTTTCAGCTTACATGAACTAAATTTAACATGGCCTCAAGGGCCGAGAGCACAATCGGTAAGAAGGTATGCTACCTTAGAAACTATTTTGAGTGCTCCCCCCTCGCCTACCCCCTTACAATTCTTTTTTTT